GATCCGCCCATGTCGCATCGTCTTCTGCCTTGCCCCCCAAACAGCCCCCCGCCACCTTCTCCAGGGTGACTCCCATGCCCTGTCGCGACGAGGCCACTGCGCCTCCTTTGCCGCACCCAAACTCTTCTGCATCTTCTGCGCACACGCAGCCTCGACTCCCACCCTCATTGCTCGCATCGGCCGCCGCTACAAATCCTACCACCAGCCAGCCCCGGCGGCCGTCCCTCTATTACGTGGGGGGACACAACAATACCGTTTTGCAGCAAAATTTCACCGTCGCCCTGGGCCTGTGCCTGCTTGCATGTGGACTCAGTCAAGCGGGGTTGGAGTGGTACACGATGGTGCTCGGAAGCGACTACACCACTTGGTGGGCAGGATTGCTCTGTGCGGGGTTGGGGCTCGCGACCATGGTCTCGCAGAGGCGGAGGACGATCGTCAGCGGCGACCACGATAACGGGGACCGGGCAGCATCGGTACAAGCTCTGAAAAGGCTGGTAATGCGGGGGCTCTATGCCCTGTTGCTGGGTGGGGGAGCGGGGGCGGTGGTGACTGCCCTCTTCTTCGACCTCGACTTCCTCGACAGATTGGAGCACCTGGACATGTGCGGCGCCAGCTCGGATAAATTGGTCTTGGACAACGGCCTGGTCCTGGGGGACACCCTCGGCAATGCGTGTGCTTTCTCTTCGGGCTGCGCCTGCGTCCAATTTACACACCCGCTCCCTGAGGGGGAAGTAGCTTGTCTCAATTTTCCTCGTTCCGCCTCCAGCAGCTGTGCGAAGGCGCCTTTCCTCATCGCTAGCATAGTGCGGGTCAGCGTCTGGCTTATGGGCGGTATCTTGTTCTTCATGACCATCCTCCTACTCCGCGGCCGGGCCGCAGTGTGCAGTGCGTACGGGGAAAGGGCCAACCAGGCGGAGGGCGCGAAGGGCGGGATCAGCAAGGATTCGGAACGCGTAGTCTCTTCGTTTGGAAGCAGCAAAGTCCGTTCCATGTCTGCGGCGAACAGGCGTCGCTCCCTCTCCCAAGAACAGCCTCCCCCACAGGGGCAAGTGGAGGGACGGCAATCCTGGTGGCAGACCGGAGACGAGGACAGTAGCAGCGACGAGGAAGGCGAGGAAGAGGTGGTGATGGTGGTGCAAAGGGAGAAGGGAAAGGTCGGAGTAGCCTTGAAGCCTGAAATGGAGCCGCCGCGGGACGGGGGACGCAGCCACTTGTTGACACCCATCCCGGAATGCCACACCCCCATGCCAGAAGAAGAGGCAGACGGGAACGGGACCAGGTCGAGGAGGAGTGACGCTGACGAACCAAATCGGGTGGTAAGGTCGCCCCCGCAAGAAGTGGAGTACATTTAACAAGCGCATGGCGTCGGCTGGATTAGATAGGAAGGATTGTATTTTTCGGTGAGAGTCGAGTGGGACACTCTGCTCTTCAAAGTCTGAGCCAGCACGATGGCCTCCTTCATGGCCTATGTTCATATTTCACGTAAGTTGATTGCATGGTTGATATTAATTGCAAAACTTCAAACAAAAAAGGAGAACTGTACGTCCTTTCTGCCGTTGACTTCAATCCAACTTGAAGGGGTAGCCATCCCTTGGAAACAGAAAATATTTACATTAAACTTCCTTGTGACCCGTCAAAAGCTCGCCATCTAACATTTTTACAGCCTTCCACTCGCTTGTATATGCCTTTTAGATGGTTTTGGGTCGATCTTACAACGTGGCACCCTTTTCGTATTGCAATGTCTTTAACATACTACCATAATAAACGCGTTTCCTGATATTGCTGACATGAGTGTTGAGAACCAATTCAAGACATCCGTTTGTCATAAATCGTCTATCAACGCATTCATCTCCCTCCAAATCGGGGAGAAGACGCTTGTCAACGAGCCTCGATTTCCCAGTGACCCCTTCAGGACGCATATCGCTTGTATCCAACACTAGCTCTTAAGCTCCACAAGAAGAATGGATGGACGAGTGCCCAAGAACACTTGATCAGTTTACTCTCCCTCAGTCCTCGAGTGCTTCTTTGCAACAGCATCTACCCCAGAAACACTCCTTAAATACGATGTGTCTCGGTTGTATCCCTCTCACGCACGGTATGCGCTTCCTCATATATGATGATCTTTCCCTCTCACTGGAAAGTAATTTGCTATGAGCCCCCGCATTTTCTTTCTGCACACCACGCTAGTCCATGCTTTTCTCTTCCCCTTCATCGTCCTCTTCAAGCGAGTTAGCCTCTTGAATCGCGGCTTCTGCTAAACCGTACAGCCCGTACTCACGCTCTTCATTTTCTCCTTCTTCGTCCCCCAATACTTCAACTCCTATTGAAGTTGACGCTTCCTCCCGTCCGTCCTCCTCCAATCCTGTCTCTGCCGATCGACCGTGACTCCCCTTCAGGTCCGTTACGGCCTCTGAACGGGGCACATTTTCCTTGTGACTCGCAACACCATCCACATCCGGACCTCGTTCCTCCTTTTCATTCTCCTTGTGCCATGAAAGATTCGATGTCTGGGCGTCCTCACGATGCTCATATAGATCTTCCTCCGGCTTGCCTGTCTTCCCTTCTTGTCCTGTGCCATCGTGCAACATTTCGTCTTCTTCCATGTCCCTTTTCCCTCCCTCGTGGGCCTCACTACTCAGCGTTTGGTCATCAGCTCTTGCAAGTCCCTGTCGAGAGGAGGAGTGTTGCGGCTGGATGGAGGGATTTGGACTGGCCTGAGGGCTCTCAAAGAACCGGGTGCCTCCCAAGGCTTCTGTCATATTCACTCCCGCCGCCCAAGTGGGCGAGGTAGAGGCTTCCATTGGATGCCGCAAGTGTAAGGGGGGTGGAGGAGGCGGCACTTGTATCGTTAAAGAGGAAGAAGGAGGCAGGGAGGGCTGCACATGGGGCAACGGGGGAGGCACGGGCATGGTATGGGCCTGGTGAGGACTATTCAAACTCGGAAAGTGCGTCTCGAAGAGGCTGCGCGTCCGGGGACTGGGAGTGGGCATGGGCAATTGCATCAAATCCGAGTGAGGGAGCGCGGCCAGGAGGTCAAGCGGAGAGCGAGGAGGGGAAGTGGACCAAGAGGGAGGGAAGGCAGATCCTGGGGTGCGTCCTGCCGGCGCGGTGTCACCGGTCGCCTCGCCATGGTTGCACAGCACCCGCAAATTGCCACCTGCACGTGTAGCAGGACTACTGAGGCGCTCCTCCGACATAGCTTCGGAATGGGTATTGCCAGACCCATCCATCTCCATCTCCTCCCTTATTGTTTCCGAGGGGGCGGGGCTCGTTTCCATTGGCCGCTGTTCTATCCCTGTCGCCCCCCCCTTCTTAAATTCACGCAATGCACCCACTGCCGCCATTTGTCTTTTCATTTTCTTCAGTTTTCGAGCATAGGCAGCCATAGTGCTATTGTTCGTGCGTCGAATGGGCTTGCCATTCGTCTTGGGGGCGGTTGATGGCAGACTCTCACCAGGAGGAACCGGCACCTTTCCCCCCTTATAATGCTTAACCAAGAAAGCATGTCGATTTCGAACCGCGTAGCCCGTCCGTCCCGACAAGTATTTAGCGATGTGAGACCATTTGTTGCCCAATAGGCGTTGATAGTGGTAGATTATATAATCCTCCTTCTCCGTCCACGTCTCTCGAGAAATGCTTGGTTTCAGCACGTAATGCCAGCGTTGATGACACTGCTTCGCATTCCGCATGGGGAGATATGTGGCGACAATGCCCCACTTCTTTGGCCCATATTTCTCCACCAAAGAGGCTAGAATCTTATCCTCGTCCGCTGTCCAAGTGTTCCGTTTTCCGTCGTCCTCCATAGCCAGCCCCATCAATGGTCCCGGTAGGTGCTTGACTGCATGGAATACCGAGGCCTGCGCAGGAGTGGCAGGAGCATTGGCTCCATTGACGGCGCCATTCAAAGCCAAGGATGTGGCCATATCTGAATGAATAGGACGAGTCTGGACCTGGCCGGAGGGCTCATATAAGTGCACGTTCGGCTGCCCGCCAAGTGGCGCATCGGGCACCACGAGTGGGGGCGAGAGCAGCCGAAGCGCTGCGGTTGCCGTCGAATTATCTGAGGATGGGGATGTAGCCCAACGAAAGGGAGCTGCCGGGCCAGGGCCTCTTCCTTGCATCAAGAGCGCTTTGGCTGTGGCAATCTCTGGGTCCGACTCCTCGTCATCGTCTTCGTCGTCCCCCATGCGGTAAGATGCATCATCGTCATCGTCGTCCTCGCCATCGTCTGAATTCCTGCGGCTTGGACCAAACCTCTTTGCTTTGCCTTGACGGTGAATACCCAACACTTCTTCTTCTTCATCCTCACCCAGGCACTCATTGTTTTGGGCCTCGAGCTCTACTGTTGAGGGCGATTTGCTGCCCCTGTAACGAGTGCGATAAAAGGACATTGCTCCCTTCACAGGCTCTGGAAGAGGAGATTAAATGTGACCTGTAGGTGATGGAAAATGTATGCATACATGTATCACTTTGATTCGCGTCCTTTTTAAGAGGAAAATGACAATCCTCGGAGCAGAGAGAATACGTAAGGATCATTCCTTTTGTGATGCCGGTCCGAGAAAGTGTTGATGATATCAATAAAAAGTGAGCATCGATGACACCACTCTACCATTTGTATGTGTTGTTCGACCAATTTATAGCCCTCTCTCACTTCATGTGGAGGTAGGATGGCATAACACGTGACACGATATTGAACCTCAAGGGCTCGGCACATTCCATGGATGCATGACCACACTCTGGTTTCCATGATGAAACTTTTCTTCACGTACCTCGTCAACACGGGAGTCCTACAGGTAAAATTCCTCTGTTTCGTGTGAAAGAAAGAATCGTGCGGAGAGCACGTGAATTACTTCATATATGGGGAGGTTGGGACCGTGGCCCATGTAATAACGGCCGGTGACGTCACCTTTATGTCTTGCAGAAGGATAGCAAGACGCAGGAAAAAAGTTTAAAGCGACGGAAAAAAACATTGACAGAACTAAATTGTTGTAAAATGTAAGATTGGATATATTTTGCACCTTTTTATTGTGTATCCCCACAAATATTTCACGAGACGTGTGTAACCAGTTGAATCTCACCATCGAGATATGCACTCTCCTCATGTACAAAGCGAAAGCATGGTGGATAAGCCCGTTCTTAGTCCTCTAAATACCGTGGTTTATATCACGAATGTGCTCCGCCGTCTCCCCACCAGCCACTCGGGCAAATCCTCGTCCGCGGACGTCCGGTTTTCCTGTCCTAACACTTTCGGGAGGTAATGCACCAAGTCATCTGGACTAAAACATGCCTCCATGCAATCCCGATACGTGGTCAATGAATGATTCGTGGTACTCGTGCGATTACGAAGACGCAGCCATTTCTCCACCGCGGACGGGGAGACGATCAAATCACCCCCGTTCTCTGCGTCCACCAAAACCTCGACCCCCGAGTGCCTGTACATACCAAATATCTTGGGCATACCCGGGACCAGATCGCCGTCAACCACCACGCGAAAAGTGGCGGGCACACGTGCTTCGTAGGCCGAGGAAAAAGCCGGATTTCCGACCCGGGGTGCCCCGAGCGTGTAGACTTGAATGTGTCGGAGCGCAGGGAAATTGATGCTTAGATCGTAGGCGGCGAGTTGCGCCAAAGCCCCTCCTAAACTGTGCCCTGTGCAATACAGGTACTCCGTCCCTTCCCTTGCCAGCGCGCTTTCCACGGCCGACAAGAGCTGGGTCCGCACGGACAGGTAGGCGGACCAAAAGCCCGCGTGGACGTGGGGCAAGGCGTGCCGGAGGGCAGGGAGGTGGGCGAGGGCCCTCTGACCGCAACTTGTCGGGCCGACCGTCCCCTCCCGCCCTGGCGCCTGCCCTGCACCCTTCCCCCCCGGCGCCACCAGGGGCATCATCTCTCCCTTCTCAACGCTGAGCAACAGACGCGTTTCCTCTTGTGCGGCGGCATCCAGGGCTGGACCTGTCAGCGCATCCTCCCCCGGCCGACGGCCCCGGTCCTCTGGCCTCGCCCCTCCCGGTCCCTCCCCGCCTTGGACCCGCTGCCCGCGCTCACAGGCCTCCAATGTCCCCTTCTCCAGCATGCCGGCCGTGGCTCCGCTGCTCTGACTCCGGATGAGGCCCCTCGT